CTACATAAAGCATTTTTAAATGTCTTACAATTTTTATTTTGAACTTGACTTAAAAATGACATGTGTTATTCTAATTACATTAAAAAATTTAATCGCTTTTTTTTTATTGTTTAGACATGTCAATAGATAAAGCATATATTGTATGAATTTCACGAACTATTATGATATTATTATCCTTGTATAATTTTTGTTAGCCAAAATTTGTTTAATTTTGGATTTTAATACAATTTAAATTTGAATGTGAAAAAAATTTAATCATACATATTCTTATTTTAAAATTTTAAACTATTAATTGCGTCTTCACAAGGGTTCAAAATTATAAAATAGAATAACTGATAGCTAGGTATTTACTATAAAATCATTTTGCGAATTCAAGGTTAACATTCAATTCGTGGCTTGTTTGTGCAAAACAAAATTATTGGCCACACCCAGTTTTTTTTTTTGGTATCTTGTCCWTGATTGTTTATTTAATAATTTATGAACTCTATACATCGCTTCTTAGAAATGTGTCATGAAAATAAAATAATAAATATTAAGATTTAATAATTTAATTTATATGATTAATTAATAATGTTTATAGTTTCATATTTACTGTAAAAAATTAAATAAATTATTGTGTGCCCAATATAATAATAGGTAAAGGTACAGATTTTTTTATTCACATTTTATAGTTAAACTTTATTCCTGCCAACTTTTAATTGCGTAATGCGTATTTTATAAATGTTTTAACATTTTGTTAATACATAATAAGTACCTACTTATTTATGTACTGCATTCACCGGCGGTGACGAAATATTATTCGTCGGCATTTGTACGTAGGTTTTCTTATCAAAATATTTATTATTTTTAATTCTGCAGAGCGGATCTAGGAATATATTTTTTCTTGCAAATTACAGCTTAATTTGCTTAGTAATATCGGCTTATATTTTATATGTATAGTATAATGATAAAATTATATTTATATAATATTAATATTACTAGTAGTACAAGTTCCGTTGTTTTATATTAACTATAACAGTTATAAATATAAAAAAACATAAAAATAATACCTCCTGGCACCTTTTAACGTAGCGGTGGTTTTAAAATTTAGTCTTTTAGACTTTCTTTTGTGTTGTCTAGATGTTTGGTTAATTAATCATGGTTCAAACGTATTATTATATTTATAAATAGGTAGATATAGGTTAAAAATATTGAATTTGATCAGTTATAATATGGTATTGACATAACCTATTAGATATTGTATGAGAATATTTTTAATAATTAATWATTAATTTTTTTTTTATTATCGATTTTGAAATTTCTGCTTCGACAACTAAGACAATTAACATTACATATTTTGTACACACATTTACTTTTTAATAATTTATTGTGATTATACAGATTTAATTTAGAAAATGTTTTTCTATTAGATTATAAATGTTTGCCATTGAATCATTTTTTATTCAATTATTATTCATTATTTGTAAAGTTTAATTTTTCGCTGAATATTACCGATCTGTGATTGAAGGATAATAGGTAAATATAATGTACCTGTACTATATATGATTTTTTTAAAAAATTTTAATAAATAATWATTATTTTACAAATCTGCCATGATGGTGACCGTGARATTTATTATGCAGATATTGTATTATTATATAACAAAACATTTATTAGAAATAGCCCTCTGTATTGTGGATACATTCCTATAGTTGACAGCTATCTAATATATATTTTAGATGCATACTTAAAAATGTATTTCACTCAGATTAATTCCAATTTCTGGTTGCGGGAAAATGTTCATTACCTAGCCATTATATATTTTTATACTTTTTTATTCATTTGTATATGACGTTATAGATGACATTTTCTTTTAATCGTCAAATTTGTTTGAAAACCGCACAAGTTCAAAATTTAATTATGTTTTTAATACAAAATTATTTTTCATTTTATAGATATTTGTTTAAGGAAACCAATGTTTTTTAAATGTAAACATATATACATGTATATAAAACTGAAATGCGTTTATATATTTTTATGTCAGGGCTTTTTAAATATTTTTCTACAATTATTCGTGTGATGTAATTGTATATTAAAATACTTAAATTCGTTGACAGATGTTAAATTTCCACGTATACATAAAACGTTGGACAATAAATAAATAATAATTTATAAGTGTACCTACTTATTATTTATATTTTAACAACCTGATTTTGACGTATTCGAACAAAATGTTTATCTTYATAAGAATAATATGTATTGGAATAGCAAACCTATGTTATATGCGTACATTGGAGTTATTGTTGAAAATTTRAATTATCACGACGAATCCATAATTAATTAAAGAATTTTAAAAAGCTCCAGATTTATTAAATATTTTCTTGGATTTGAATAGGTATGTAAAAGTTCTTTTCGTATATTGAACAGTTAGTTGTTTCACTTGATATGTTAACTCTGTATAACATACGAGTGTATAAATTATAAATATTAAATACTTATGGATATGGGTTTTAAAATTATTTCGATATGTATAAACGTTAATCATATTAACGACGGTAACATATTCTGATAATTTACATGTATTCCATAATAATTATTATGCATCAATGATATTGTATACAAAATAATAATTGTTCAAAAATAATGATTTTTTTTACCAGTTTGTCAGCCATTTTGTTTTGACAATTCTTTTACCAAATTAATTTACTATACATACATTAGCCACACCTGTGTATACACAATGATGTACGCTATATGTGGTACGAGTGTTATATTATACTATAATAATATAGTAAGAGCTGAAATTTACCGTTGTTTACGGGCAGTTGTCGCGTTATCACAGTGCGGCGAATTATTATTATCTTTTATTATTATTACAATAATTATGATATTGAGATAAAATAAAATWATGTTTAAATCTCAATAATGAAATTAAAAATAATTATAATATAAAAAAACATAATATTATCAATATTATTATATTATGTAGGTAGTATTGCYYATATCGTAGGCCATATCCAAACAATCTAAATAATTATTCGTCATACATTCGGTAATAGCTTGTCGTGTAATAACAATCAATGAATACAAATAATGAAATTGGTACCTATACAATGTAGGTACACTTTATACACTGTGCATATTATACGATATCTGCAGTTGTAGGTAGGTGGTGAATTTACCGTCTTTCGTTTAAAAATTAATTTTTAAGCGCATTTATAGATTTTAAAGCCACGCGAAAACGACGACGTGGTGTTGTGGTTTACCATAAATGGAGTATAATAATGATATTAGGTACGGTAATTATTATTTTCCGGTTCAGTTGCTTGTGTGTACAATATTTTAATGATAATTATTTATTATAAAACCACGACTTTCGTCTCGCACACATTATTTCTAAACAGATTCATTTGGCAATGTGCGTTTTTTCCTTTCTTTCTTTCCCCTCACTCCCACGCTACTATAGCTTGTAACCGTGCAAAGTGCGTCATCGTCGTCCAATTAAACGCTATTGACTGAATCGCGATTAAACAGATTTTGGTATTTAGTATTCATAATCTTAACATCGAACTCGTATGATATTAAAATATATTTGTACAAAAATATGTATTATTTTGTCGATTTATATACGCATAGGATTTATTTATGAATTATTTATTTACCATTTCTCTATACGACTATTGCATGCACAATAAGTTTAATATATTCTGGAATTGTAAACAACTTCACGCGGAAATGCGTTATACCGTTTATACGATGTAATCGAGACTTAATAAATGGATTTCAAGATGGACACTATTTTGGGTTTGAGCCTCGCGGGTTACATCACAATAAAACGTCCCAATAACTGCAATACAGTTTTTAACAAATTTTCAAGGTTAGGTTAGTATATATTTATAGTACCGTAGCACATTAATAATATGCGAAAATAAATGTTCTCATACTGTTGCTAAATATTGCCCAAGCATATACTATTGCGTTTTATTCTTATTACCACTCATTAAACGTCACTGAATATGACCTTGATAAATCAATAACGGTAAATTAATATTATGATGTTGGCTAGGGGTCGTGCGTTGGTTATCACGGAGAAATTTAAAAACGATCTATTCCCGACGGAAAGTCCAAACTGTTGCCGACACTTGGGGGATCATTAAATATTCGTATCCAAAACATACATTTATTATGTATTTATGTACATGCCTACATTTGTCACAAAACACACATTTTTGATAAAGATTGGTTTTAATTATGCTTTATTATTATCATGCGATCCTTATATTGACTTTAAATATATTATTTTATGTTTTCTTTTATTTTTAATATACAATTACAGAGTACCAATTTTATTGCCTGGTTATAATGGGTATTTTTAATTTTACAAGTTGTGTTCTTGCATTCCTTATCGCGCCTGACTCAACAATAAATTATTATTATTATTTTTATCACTGTTATAAAAATGTTTTTGTTTTACCTGATGTTTGAGATGTATATAATGTCAGTTTTATCACTTATTTATCTATAATCTCGYGATTAACACTAAAATGCAATAAACCGCCCAAACCAATATATTTGCATTTGTTAAACTTATTCATTTTTAAACTCGTTAACATTTTCTCGATATCTAATTATCTAAATTATAAATAGGTATTAACATAAGTAATACATTTATGTTTAGTATACATTTATTTGTGTTATCTTACATCAGCTGATAACCTATATTATTGCGTTTTCTCTTTCGTTTCTAATAGCCGAAGTTGACCAATATTTATGAATTTGGCCTATAGTATGTACAGTATATACTATATTATGTATATTATATTAGATTATATGACCTGATGGCTTACTTATTATGTGTACGTATATGATTATTGTCCATCTTTATTTGTGAATGAAAATAAGAACATTTTTCCTATCGACGTTTTACCTATACCGTTGCAGCTATTGTGTGCGCTGCGCGAGTGTAAAACAGCACGGTATCGTATTATTATTATGTCCTTAATTTTTGTTCATTATTTCAGTGAGCCGTCTGCATTGCGAGAGCGAATCGTTCAAGATGGAATTGATCTTGGATATCAATTCATGGATTTATCCTATGGATTTGGGTGAGTTGTGTATATTGATATATTATTTTGGCATACCTAAGTTAAAGAAAATTATGACTGCTATGGAAATAAGTTACAGATTATTATAATTTAAAGTAGTTTTTTGCTATTATCTAAAGCAAATTTACTTTAAGACTCCCTGCTGTATAGTATTATAGTATACTATAGTATAGTTTAATGAATGCTAGATTCTAACTACATACTACTATGGGAKAGTGTGTATATAGGTACATTAATTTATTACCGACATTAAGCCCTCGATACACATACTAATTACTAATTGGCGTAGTTTGCGTCACTTGACTGTAGCAGACTCATAACAGTCATAACTAGGATGCGAGTAAAATACCAACTTTACCTACCAAAAGATTTAGTCGGTAAAATTTTAAGTGATGTATGCATGGTGAGATAGAAAGGCCTAATATCTCCTTTTGGTTCCTAATTAATATACATAGGCATTTCTATTGTTTAAAATACAAATTTTGACAACTCCGGGCGGCTGGACCAGTAATAAAATGTTTAAATAAATGTGCACGTAATGTGTTTAGTGCACAATTGAAATAATTAAAATATTTATAGGACGTGTTTTATCTCCGAAAGCGATTTTTCAATCGTTCGATTTTTTTTTTTCGGTGTACGATCGATTTATCGTTTATAATACAAATCGTCATTTACATCGTGCCGTATCTGAGTATATATTTAATAATAATTTGTAATATTATACCGTGTTTTACCCTGCGTGCTCTTGTCGGTATCCCGGAAATTCGCGTTCTTCTGTCCTTTTATTATTCCTGGCAACAATGATTAATAATTAATATTTTATATTCGCTCACCTATGTATAATATTTTTATGCTCGCCTCTGCCCCCAACCCGTCGGCGTATCTTATAAACACAATTTAATAATAATATTGTGTACACATTTTATACGACCGCTCGCGCGCGCGCAGAACGTCGTCGTCAGCGGCGGCAGCAGCCGAGGCGCCTAGAGTATACACTCCTACGCCCGCCCCGCCGACCCGTGCTGGTATATTTGGCAAAACGTGCGTGCGCGCCGCCGCCGCCGCCGAACGGGAGGCCCCGAATGGGTTGGTGCGAAAGTTTTCGACACGTAGGTTAGGTATATACGCGATGCAGTAATATTTCGTCGGCGCTCGCGGGTTTTTCAAAAACCCCACCGCACGACAGTCGCAAGTGCACGGTCGTGCACTCCCGTCGCTCATCACCGTCTCCCATACACTATCATCAGTCATCACCGTCACCGTCACCGCCGCTGTTTACCGGCGTGTGTATATTGTATGTTGTACTGCCGCCGTGTGTCGCACGTCGCCACAAGAACGCGTCGACGTCGATGGCGTTAGTAGCTTCCTCGCCGCCGCAGCCGCTTAACGCTTTGTCAACAACACGCGCGCGCGGCCGACCTCCGCCGCCGCAGAAGTAGCAGCAGCCGCCGCCGCCGCCGTCGCCGTAATGCCATCCACTTTTAAGGTAAAAAAAAAAAAAAAAAAAACCATTCGCGCGATATTTTTTTCGTTTCGCGTTTCGATGACTTATCAATAATTATTATTATTGCTCGCGTAATGATTATTTATATAACTATAATATGCATCGTGTATAGTAGTATAATATAATATTATGTTGCCGTGGCATATTATATTATCATTTTTTTAGGYGGGCAAACATCTGTGCGCGTTACCATATTACTATAGTATTAATATGATATTATAATATTCAACTATTGTAATTTATTATATAGTTTTATTATGTATGTGGCTTTCCGTCGTTGCGAAGTATATTATAACAATAATAATAATAATAATAATAATAATTGCTATTGTTATTTTTTCGATAATGTTATTTGCGCAGCCGTTTACGCACCAATATTTTATGCCTATTGATAATGATATTATTATAATGTTAACATATTGACGATATGCGCGCGGACTATATAGGTCGTCTCACTATAGTATAATGTACAATATCGGACTAAATGGTGGCCACGAAGCAGCTATATAGTGTTAGATTAGTGTGTTGTGGTGCGGTGTATAATTGTGCAGCTGTATAATATTTATAATATCGTAATATGCGAGCCTGTCGTGGATGACGTCTATACGGAACTCGGTAATAATCGCCATTAATATTAAAATATTTGTACGTTTCCGTGATAGAGTTATTGCGTTTAAAAACAATTAATTTATATCATTATACCGTGTCGTCGTGTCGGCTATATTATTATATAATWTTACGATAATATCATATAAACGTAGCGTTATTGACGTTTGTTCGTTACAATAATACGTACAATATTGCGGTCGTCTTGCAGCCGCGGATATCGCGATTGTCTCGCGAAATTCGTTTTTTCTTCTACTTTACTGCCCGAAACGACCTCAGACTTGTGATGTTTGTGAACTGCGATGTTTTCATCTCGATAACTTCATAACTATATTACGCGTTTTGCGAAAACACCGAGAGGAATCTCTCCGCGTACCGACAAAGACATCACATTTCACTGCCAAAATCCCATCCGAATAGCCGATTTAAACAGAAAATAAATCATTCAGTTTTCAAKAATCCCCACGTCCGCCACCGAATTAACGCGAATTCCGTTTCCCGATGCACGGGCCACAATAATATACGTCTCCGATTGCCTCCGACAAAAAGTATCCTATATACTTTATTATTCAGGTATGTATAATCGAGAAATGATTGATTTATAGGTTCTTCTTTATATAGTTGGTATAGGTTAACAAATAAAAAGTAATTAATAGTAATTTTATTTTATAATTTAGGTATCGTGCCGATTATTTTTTTTGTAGATTTTAGAATTCAATATRAAATATTTAGAACGATATGTCGCTGTGGTATTTTAAATGGGTTTGAATAATGAATCAGGCAAATTTTACCCACTTTTTTTAGTGTCCGTKTTTATCATAATTTATTACGAATTTTCGTAGTAAAATTATGTGTTTGGAATGAGCTGTTTAAAAAACATTTATTTATTTTTTTACTGCCCATAATAGTAACAACCATTATAATGTTGTATCGTAATTTTTTGATTAAATACTGCAATTATTTAGATTTAATTTTTTTTACATATACATATTAGCTATACGAATAAAATAAAATATGTACAAGGTAATGAGATATCTTCAGTGTTTCTCTAAATCAAGTCTATACATTTTTTTTAAAATTCTATAAAATAGAGATCATCTGGAACGATGTTTGTGAATAAYTTAAACGATTACGCGCTCACTAWAGTACACAAAACTAGATTATTTTCGTTACGCATAAGAACGCAATTAACACATTTTTTTGATTGTATAGTTGTACCTATACATTTTCCCATACATTCACTGAGTTTTTATTACAAACATCATTGATTTTTTTTAAGATTTTTATTATTTAATCGCTTTTCGTTTTCTTGAAAACGCCAGCACAAGTTGTGCATTTTTCCCACGGAAACCCAAAAATAAAATTGTTTAMAGTTAAACATTATTGCCGTCTAATTGTATTGTTGAACAGTTGCCAAAATGAAAATGTTTTCATGAAAATATTTACGCGTTTTTTACGTACTGTTCCGATWAMACGTTAGATTTCGCTAGGCGTAAAAACTAGAAAATATAATCACTCGGTCATATTATATTGACGCGAATGTTTAATATGAAAATTCGACGTTGGTTTTGCCAAGTGGCTGCGCAGATGTTAGCATAGGTATGTTACGACGTATATTTAAAACAAATTTTAATGTGTCACRAAAAAAAAGAAAAATGAAAAATATTATTTACATTATATGCATAGGAAACTCATCATCAAAACAACAACAATGTAGAAGTATCACATATACATATTATATTATTTTATTATGCGTACTGTTGTGTTTTGCCAATATTAAAAGGCGGCCATACGTTTATTCTGTCGGGAATACGATATATAATAACGTTATCTCAKCAATGTACCTACTGTGCCTATTGCTAAAAAAAAATTATTTGGGAAGGGGTTTTTTATCTCTCGCACTATTATAATATTATATACGATATTGTGTTCGAAAGAAAAATTATATTATCCAAGGTTGCTACCGCCGTCAGCTGGTGATGTGCCACACACACACACACACACATGCACGCACCATCGGATCGATTCGCCCGCTACCACCCATCCCCTCACCCCGCCACCACCGACCTTTGTGCTTGCCCACCGCCCGCAAACGCGCGCGCACGTACTCTCCGCCGGTGGATTGACGCAACACCCGGCGTAGTGTGTCAGGTCTCTGACGCGCCGGTCTGACTGTTTTTTTTTCGCCTCCACTCGCCTGACCGCACGTCGCCGTTACCCTGTTCCCGCCGCCGTCACCGTGAATTCCCACCGTGCGGTTGGCGCKCGCGCCTGGCGCTCCGCACACCCGTCGCCGCACCGTCCATCCGTCCATCGACCGACCACGGCGGCGGCACGGTGCCGCGTTTCCATCGCGATTTCAGCGCGAGTCTTCTCTGCGCGCCGCCGTCGTTGTTTTCAATGCCAAGGTTAGATGCGCACGGGCGGTTCTCAGTGCCAAGGTTGTACTCACTCTCGCTCTCTGCCCCTCACCGTTCCGCGTATAATGTATGTAGCTAGGATGTTCATCTCACTCCGCTACCGCCAATCGCTCTCTCGCTCGCCGCGCGCACGCTCGAACCTTCGACATTGCCGCCGCCACATTTACGTACAGATACACGTTCACGCACAACGAAAATTATGTTGGTATACAGTGTATATTCCGAATATTCGGTACAAGTATAATATAATTTTTTCTTTGGTTGTACATTATGTTTGCGCAATAAATATTGTATGATGAACAATAAAAAAGAAAATCTGTAGGACGCGATGCGCGAACGCAAGTGCGCGTGGTATTACCGTACCCCTTTCTGCACGCCGCCGCGCCCGACGAGGGTTGAATTGATKGCGGGAGAGGGTTCCGTGGATCAAGTATTCAAGTTCTGCTTGAAAAAAAAAAACCAGGGCGAACCTATAACSTATCCGACGCGTTAAGTACAGCAGAGAACGTATWGAACGGACATTTTAATAACATTATATACAATCGTGCATACTTGCAGGGCAATCGCTAAACCGTGTTCAATGGGGAATATTTTGAATTTTGGGTAATATTTAATATTTTCGCGTATAATAATCGGCAGTCTTATCATCCAACATTTTTTTTCTTTTTTAATTCTATATATTTTTAAACCTGTGATGTACTCGTATAATCTACCTATTATTATCTACCATATTATGTAAAATTAATACTCACTACCTATCTGTATCATATAACATTAAAACATGCGGTTCTCAAACGACCAATCAAATTTTTTACGTATAGAATTAATGATATGCAAACGAAAAACTTCAGAGACTGTTGTAAACCACGGGCGATTTTCGGATTGTCGGTCTGGTGTAATATTTTTTCTAGTTGTAAAATTTTTTATAATGACGTATATTATGGTATACGTGCGAGACATTCAAATAAAAAACAGTACCTATATAATGTAATAAAATTAAAAACTGTGAAAACTGTGAAAACGCAGTTTCAAAACTTATCGGTTCGCAGAAACTATTACTACAGTAATTTGATCATTGCTGCAGTGACCTACTGTATGCGCCAAAAATCTATTTTACGAAGAATTATTGCATAATTTTACGCTGAAAATTGTTTAAACATAAAAAAAATATTTTCAATAATGTATAATAATATGTATTATAAATATACATTACTATAATTTATTAGGTATTGTAGGTAATGTGTTTTATCTTAATATTATGGTTGTGGTAATAAAACGAAAATTAAAAATCAATTTTATAATATTATACTATGTTCTTGCAGTGGAATATACCTATACATATAAATATATAATGCATAACTGCATAGTATTGATTTTATTTTAATTAAACAAAATTAGTACATTTTATATTATGATTTATAATTTAAAACGGATATTTCTTTGAAACAAATAAAAAAAAAAAAAAACAAATATTGATTGATAAAAAAATTATTTCATAATATGATTTATCATTAGTCTATGATGCCTATGGTTATATTAAATTATATATATTTGCGGGTTAGGGAATGACTTTTAGTTGGATGTTTTTGTAAACCTTTACATTTGGTAGAAAATAATTTTCGAAATTAAAACGTATATGATGGACACAAAGTTACTGTAATATACATATAATATCTATATATTCTATATATATATGTTTGTGGATAGACTTCTGGCTGGTATAACTTCGCTTTTTTGTCCCTATTTATTTATTGGATATTACCGATGGTAACTTTATTTAAAATAAAATTTCATTAAACTGTTTATTGATAAAATTATCGTGTACAAATAAAATATGTATTTAAACAGTTATATCAAATGGAAATATGGTTCGTTTTTTACGCTCTCCGTTTCAGTCATTTTGTTTTTGATAATAACAAATTTAATACACACAATATGTTATTTTAACTACAAAAACATAAAATATTCTAGGCTGACCTCCGTTTATTGACCCATCACTATAATCAAAATCTAATACTGAATAATTTATTATACTCACCAGTATATGTACAATTAATTTTAGGGTACTCTCTAAAGTTTTCGATTCTCTGAATTATAAATATATTTGACGTTTATTTATTAAGTGGTTTTAAATTTGATTATACCTACCGTTCTTTTAGGCTTTAGTATTACTAATCTTTAGTACTACTAACATATATATATACATATGTAAGCATTTAGTAACTATTAAGTAGTGTTAGATTCTTGGTCAATAAATGTATGTTCTAATTTACAACGATGTTTTTTCTTCTTTATACACTTTCGAACAAATACTTCTAAAGTTTAGTAGACATTTACAGCTTCTATCTTATATCTACCAATACATATATTATTATTGATTGGAATTCGGGTCAAGATGGTATATTTCAGAATTGGTCATTATTCGATTTATTCTGTAATTTTTATAAATTATACCAATCGTAAATAGTGATAGTCGATCTCTGTGTAGAAACCAGTTTAAAATTTGTAAGCTTTTGTGTACCATAGCAAAACAAAATGAGTACTCATCGTTCGCTATCTGATTTCAATATATTGACCTATTTTTTAAATATATATTATATTTTTTTATTACTTTTATTAGTAAATTAAGGTAAATGAAGAATTTATAAATAAAGAGCAATAATAAAATACAATGAAATTAGCAACCAGTTTAAACGATTTTATACATCGTACATACATTAGCATAATAGTATGTTATGATTGATATTTGATCGTAATGAGATTGAATGGAAAAATCATAGGATACCCTACGATTACATATGTATAATGACAATTTAAAAAAAATGAGTATAGCTGAATAGTATACAGCGAATACTCTACGCGTTGGAGTCTTGAGTGAAAGATGGTGAAATAAGATGTGGGATAGATCAAGACGTTTACTTTCATTAAATTTACGAGTTCAGTGAGAGGTCGGAGAAGAGTCCTTTAAGGAAAGTTTAAAGGTATGTGAAGACAGTGAACAATGTTTGATTGTATGAACTATTGATTTATTTTTTTAAGTTTTTACATTTTTATTCAATGTTATTAAATAATAGGATTGGGTACAAATATGCAATACATTATTATAAACCTATAGTGCTTCTAATTATAGAGACAAAGTTCAAATATAATCAATTGAGTACCTCTTTATTCAAAGCTTTGTAGTCAAAGTATTGAACCACGTATGTTAATTACTTTGAATTTAATTTTGCCTAGCTTAAATTACTATTAATATTATAATACTATTATAGTCTATATGTTTTTAATCCTATAATGAATAGTGCATATTATTGAATAGTTTTGAAGAAAAAAAAGTTTTATCTAATTGAACTGTACAAGTAAATTTCTAGTTTAAAAACTGGTTCTCAAGAATTTGATTTTTTTATAGAGGTACACATATAATATATGCCATACTATATACATATGGATATCAGGATTCCAAGTGTCAAAATGAGTAATACTGAAATGTGCTTTCATAATATGGTGTATATAATATCAGGTTCTTCCACAACACGAACTATTCTATCTATTTGCAGTCTATGTTTCTTATACACGTTTGAATTGATACATATATTAAGAACAATATTTTAAGGTTTTCTATACATTTATATATTTGTCATAATTCTTTCGATTTTTGTTTTATTTTTGAAGCAATAAAATATCAAATTCGTATTTTTTTAAATATGCATGCAATTTTTTACGTTACTGTTTCACACTGAATTTATGATACATATAGTAGGCACCACTTATTTAATAATAATTTTTGTCAGTAGATAATATCAATTTTTTTTTTGTATTATATCCGATGATCACAATTACTTAAAAAAAGTGTAAAATACCTATTCTAATTTATGAACTCAATTGTATCATAGTATGTATAAATTACGTTGGATTACGGTTTCGTTTTTATTATATTTTTCTCATTCCCTCAACCATTCAAAATAATTATTATAAAAAATAATATTGTTATTATAAGATGGAGGGTATAAAATATTCAAATTCCAACAGTCTATTAAATTTTACTGCGAACATGCACCGGGGTAGTGGTTTAGATAACTGTACATAATAAATAAGTACTAATGGTATTGGCGACGTTAAACTAAACGAATCGATTATTAGGTATAATATTGTTGTGGGTCGAAAGGAGAAATATCCGCTGGAAAGCACTCCCAAAAATTAACATTTCGTGATCTCGCATTCCCGGTCGTGCGGAGTACCAGATACAATGGTGCTAGGTATATAAGAGCTAATTCTCTGCCGATAATATTTACATATCTTGTATGTGACTGGTGGTCATCGGGCGTGTGAATAATATATGTTTTTACCTACGGTGAAGTAAGAATAGAATTAGTTTTGTCTGACAGGTTTCATTTTTAACGTCTCCGGTTTTTGTCTTCTAATCAACCGGTTTCCTAGAATGCCGGCCGGCAATAATGTAGCATACGTCTGATAAAATATTATATTATTGTGACTTCGGAAAACTCGGAAGTTAATAATGCGTAACCCCCCAAAAAGCGTTGACTAGACAGAAAATTGACCAGCTTAAAAACGGGAAATTTTTTTCGTTGCAGGTGATAAGTTCCGATTGGTGTTGGCCACGACGTTGCGCGAAGATGGACAGCCTGACGCTGGCGATTGGAACCCCATAGAGATGGATCAGAACGGCTGTCGGGCCGACAGTTTCGAGTATGTCATGTATGGCAAGATCTATCGGATCGAAGGCGACGACAAGGTGAAGGAGTCGCACAAGAACAAACTGTGAGTACCTACCCACATCATAAAATTATTGTGCTCTTAAGGGCCAGTTGTACCGTCYCTGATTAAAGTTAACCGGAGTTTAATCGGCCGAATTTGCAYGGTTAAATATCTGTTAKCAGCTGATTAAGCGTAATCGAAGTTTAACCGTAGACGGTACAACTGGCCCTAACTCTCGACGGAGATAATATTGTGACGAATTTACGAATTGTAAATTACAATTTGGTATGATGATGATGGCAATATAATTATCTAATATTAGTAATATTACCTATATTTATAGTCAAAAAACGATTGTGTGTTTACACATTGGAGGTGGTTGTGATGTGGACGGTGGTGGTCGTCTGTTCGAAATTTTTCTCGGATGAGTCTCCGTCGCGTTTAACATTGTTATCTGAATAAAAACAAAACACTTCACGTACCCGTTGGTTGCGTCGTGCACAATATACACGATTATKAAAATGCGATATCTATTGTGTCCACCCATCCATCCATTATCACCACCACATCCACTTGGCAGAGAGAGTATAATTCCGTAGTAGAGTGTAATAGTTTTTTGTACGCATATTTGCATTTTTTCTATTTATCGTTACTCGTATTAATATTGACGAAACGCGTCGTGGTGTTTGCACGGTACACGCAGCGCGATCTATGGGTAAAAGACGGCGCGTGTTACCGCCATGCGTCGATGACAGATCACGCCATCGGTACGCGGACGAGCAGATTATTTTGGCGGAATCACAGTCGCTGCAGCCGAAACGACCATTCTGACGTGTGGAACTGGGAACCTCGCTGTGTTAACTTGTCTTATTGTTTCGATAATTATTCGATGAAATCAGAGTGAACACAGCTGGTGGTATCTCAGTTCCATCGCAGAACAATTTCTACGGACGGCATCACTCTSCGCTGGACAAACGTTYCTCATGTATAAAATATTATTTATAATATTGTTGTAACGTTATACGAATATGTGTAAWAATCAAAGGTGGGCATTAACTAGTTAAAAAATTATTATTTTTTAAACTTTTTAACTTGACCAGTTAGTTTAGTTGRCAGTTGACAAAACTTAAACTTTTCTCAGCTGATTTAAAAATAATCCATCGAGTTAAATACATTTTGAAATTTTTCGTTTATATCTAAATATATTAATATAAAATATTAAAATCCAATACTATAACAATAACACAATCAATTCTGTTCTTTTTCTTGGCAAAATAATTTTGTATATTGGTTAATATTATTATATTCGATAGACATCCATCCATTATGCAATTTACATACTAATTTAAAAACAATACACTTACTTTTTTGAAACTGAATGAAATTAACATTTTTTTCAATATTAACTTTAAACTTATCGAATTAAATTAATTATTTGTTAACTGTTAACTTTTAACCTAACGATCATGTGTCCTCTTAACTTACCTTGAGTTGATTATTTTCATTAACTTGCTCACCTTTGGTTAATAATAACGCTATAGATTACGAATTGTACGATTGCATATTATTAATATTTTACAATATTTTGATATTATAATATACCAGTTTGTTTTATACCAGCCATCAAAACCATGTACCTACCTATGATATTATTTGTGATGATAATATTGATGCGGTAAGCGTGTCGTTAAATAGGTAGGCGTTATTATAAAATAAATATATTATATTGTAATTAACAATAATAAGTAATAACGTTGTCGTGGTATAATAT